TTAAAAATTATTACTTAAAAATCGAGCCCATAATTTTCACAATTTTTAGAATAAAATTTGAAGTCAATGGAGTGGATTTTTTTGGGCTTAAAATCAAAGTTAAGTGTGTGGGTGTGTTTAATGAGTCGCAATTAGCTAGTAATTTAGCACCTTTCTCACCGTCCAATAATGCTTCACATGAACACATGTCTTCAGACAAGTGAACAACACGTGGCAACGAAAGATTGGATTGAAGGGTTGCCTCGGTTCATGAATTAGTGCACGCCAGAATCTTTTTTGTGGGTTTTGGAGAGGATAGTGGGAGTTGTTTGGCTTTGAAGTTCTTTTTTTTTTTTTTTAATTGTGTATTCTACATATTTATATTTTCATTATGATTTTTTAAAGCCTTTAAACATGATGTTTGCACGTGGCCATGTTTTACAATTTTTACTTTTATTTTTTATTTATATAAAAAATTTTATTAAATTTAATTTTTGCTATGAAGTCCTCTCCTTTATGTGCTATTTGAAAATTCCACCCCACTTTTTACCCCTTTTAACCTCTTTGCCATCTTTTTCAAGTGAAAACTTTCCCAAGCAAGGTTAATGTAACTCTCCCATCCAATTGTGTTCCATCCTATATTATCCTTAGATAGTTACTTTAATCATTCCAATGGTATCAACTTTGTGATAGACCGTTGAAAATGGCCCAAATTTTGAAGATTTTTTTTGTACTTAAAATTATTAAAGATTGATTTTCATCACTAGAATTAAGAGTATAATATTTTATTAATATTTGTTAATTTTGACAATTACCAAGACTAAGTAAAAGAAGATCAAATAAGTTTCATATCTTATTGTAGTTTGCCTTTTTTTTTTATTCGAATTGATTTTTTAGTGCTGGGGCATGATCATGATCTTATTGACAAGTTATTCAAACTAGAATACTAATTCATATATGTTTGGTATCCAAATTAAATTCATGAATAATTATAAAATTTGGGTCAAAAACATTTTAAAAAAAAACCGAAAATCAAATTTGAAATTCTAGTTTTACCAACAATAATGTAGAAGAAAAACCATTTGATTAATAAATTTAACTATTGTCAATTAGGTTCTTATTATAGTGATAAATCAAAAGGCACTAACGCTAGGGTGTTGATTCAATAATTATAAAGGAATAAAACATAAATAAATCTTCAAATTTTACTCAAAATGAAAATAAATCTTCTATCTTTTATTTTATGAAATTAAAATTATTAACTTTTAATTCAACAAATATTAGTTAAAAATTTTAATTTAATTTAATTAATTAATTCATATAATTATTTTTAAAATATAATATTTAACATATTAAAAATTTAAAATTTAACAACTACAATCGTTTCTTTTATACCCAAATTACAACTTATTTTATAAAAAACAAATATCAACCAAATCATTAAATTTTTTTATTAATCAACCCCATGCAAGACCCAACCTTATTTTATTACCCTTGATCATGCTCTACCTAGTTTTACTACAAAAAATCAAAACTTATACTATATAATTATAATTATAATATAATAATAATTATTAAAGTCATTATAATGATAAAGAGACGAATCATCATCATCATTATCGTTTTACACTAAAATATGTTCAAGTTGGAAGCATATGCCGGCACAGACGGACATTCTCCCATTTATGCTTTTCTTATATTTTCTTCCCATAGCCAAGTGTTGGAGGCGGCCCTTCACTAAAAAGAAAACAAAAGTGCAGGGGCTGTATTTTATTTTTACACTCAAAATAAAAACGTTATCATCCACTTAGAGCGTCCCATGTGCGCCGACACGTGGCCCGTTTTTCAAGATCGATGTCTTTGCCTTTCAATGGTCGCGCGCTTACCCCAAAAAAAATCTATCATCGGCACGTGTGTACACGTGTGTGTGCGTGTTTTAGCTTTTTATAGTTTTTACTCTTTCCTTTGGTCAGTCACGTGCGCCGCACGAGCCACTCGTTGGTTTCTTCGACGGTCCTCCTCCACGACGCCGTCAAAGTCATACACGAAAAAACACAACGGTCCAAAATTCGGAAACTAATGGCTAATCTTATAAAAATTAAAATATATATAAACCCGAAGCCACCCCTCATTAAATCTGAATTCCATGGCTAAAATAGTCATTTCGTTCTCTGCCGATGACATTGCCCACAATTAGAAGGAACAAAATTCTCACCCTTGCCATTTATATCAAACAAAATTATTAAAATATTTGACGGGCGGGGAAAAAGTTAAAAAAAAAAAAGAAAATATTAACAAAAAGGTCAAAACTCGTGATCCAGCGGGTGATTTTGAGCCGTTTAATGTGAACGGTGAGCGAGGAAAAAAGTCGGTGTGGGACCACTCAAAACCAGCCTTGACGGTTTAGAGCCACATCGACCACCAACGAGCTGACTCAGAAACGAATACAGCTAGATTTTGCTTTACCTTTTTTTAAATAAATAAATAAATAAATTTGTTTCTTGGCTTTTTCCTTTTTTTTTTAATATTAATAAAGTTATTATATTTTTTTTTCTTGTTTGGTGATTGGCGTGGGACGAGACTGAATGAGGATAGTGGTCACTTTCATTATCTGATGGAGTATTTGACACAGCCAACATCCATCTTATTCATCAATCTGATTTTAAAAGGAAGATAAATTAAATTAATCAAATTAATTGAAACGTGATTAAAATTGACCTCGTCTCATCACATCATCAACATTACCGCCCCCCCAAGCCAGCTGGGCCGTGTTTCAAAACGCGGAGCTCCATAATTCCAAATTACATTGTTGCCCCTTTAAAATGTCGGGATGCTTTGATTTGGCAAGGGGTTGTTTGGGTAGGCGAAAGTCCTTTCTGTTTTTGAATAGCTAAGTGGCGCATTCTTTAATCAAATATAAACAGCGTTACTCAGGACCAAAGAAGGAGTCAAATTGCTTATTATCAGATTTGACCAAACACAAGCAGTAGATTTTTTTGGCCTTTGTTCAATTGACTGCTGTTGGAATGTTTTTATGATTTGATCAAATTCTTTGTTTTTTTTTTTTTCATTTTATGCAAATAGACCAAAATTTTTTTATAGATCTCCGTAGATCTCAACATGTATTAAAAAAATATTTGAATTGAAGTATTAAAATTATTAATTATTTGTTTCAATTGAGAGAATATAAAGGTGAAAAAATTAAAAAATTAATTCAATATTATAATATTGAATGCTATTCGAATTATTTTTTTATATTTAATTTAGATCAAATTTAAAATTTATATATATATATATATTAAATTTTGATTGAATTTTGAATCAAGATATAAAAATTTTAAAAAATTAAATTGAATTGAATTATATATTTTTATTAATTTTTTATATTCTAAAAATTTTTATAAAATAAACTAATTTTTTATACATAAATTTATTTAAATATATGTAAAATTTTATTAAAATAATATATAAAAATAAAAAAATCAATTTTAAAAATCAATTAACTAAATTAAATGGAATTGATAAAATTTATTTATAATCAAATTAAATTATAATATTACATATTACTTAAAAAATTAAACTAAATCTAATTTGATTTAAAATATTATCTCCCTAGGAGAAGGATTAGAGAAAATTTAAAAATTTGTTTGATTCCGAAAATAAAGAAAAGTGGCCGAAGGGGGGGGGGTGGGAGTGATAATTATTTTTGAAGGTTTTTGTAGGCAGGAAAGTGCGAAGCGACCCCTATCCCTAACCTACAAATTATAGTATGTATAATTAAAAGTTGAAATGATTATTGAGAATCTTGGCACAGCGAAAGTTGTTGAAAATATGATCTTATTAATTAATTAATTGAGATTTTTCCTTTTTTTTTTTTTTTCTCTCTCTCTCTTCCCCAATAGGGAAGCAAAGCAGAAAGTATGCCAAACGCGACTGCCAGCTTTGCCAGGCATGCTACTCAGTGCCAGGTGATTAATTGTCATTTTATTGTCACACGTTTAAGGGTCTTTTATTTATGTATATGATAAAATTAATTTAAATAATAAAATTAATTATTATATCGAATATATATACCTAATGACGGTCCATTATTATCAACTTATTTAATTCTTTTGGATTCGAAAGATAATTTGAGAGTTATAAGTCCACATACATCAATATCAATCCAATCAAGTTGTCTAACCCTATCATGCCGGACCCAAGAAAAAATATATGTACCGTATAATAGTTTGAAAATTCAACTGTTGAATAGTAAATAATGTATATCAATAATTTAGTTTTGTCGTCAACATTTTCTATTTTTGGATATATATATAATTCGTATTTGATAATATAAATAAATAATATTTTATGTAAATTATAATAAAAATTTTAAGAATAAAACTTTAATATATTATTTTCAAATTATTTCAAGCTTCTACTAAGATAAAATCACAATTTAAAAATAATGAAAGAAATTTTAGGTTTTAATTTTTATTTATAGCTTTTTTTTTTCACTTAATGAACTATAATTTAGCAAATTGAGCAGTCAAATCAGGAAAGTCAGTGATAATTATGATTATGGTTCGGATTATGATAATGGATAATGTTAATGTGTAATTGACTAGTCAATTGGATAATTACTTAATTAGTCTTAACCTTTAATATTTTTCCCAAAAATGATTGCACTTAACGCCCCTGGTTCCTGTACCGCAGGGAATCAAAACTCCACTAACGGAAGCTGGCAAGGAAGAGGAAATTGACCAGCCGATTTTTCGGGCGTTATAACAGTAGAAGACATTGGGATAACGGAGTCTTCTTTCTCTCTCAAAAACTTAAAAATGAAGTAAAAGAGAGGGACAGTTTTTATTCTATCGCGATATCGCACTAGTCAACACGTGTCTCAACCGGCGCTTCCGGTGACCGGTTGTTTACTCTATTTCGTGGACCCCACAACCACCACCGCCACGCCACGCCACGCCTCGCCCCTCTACCCTTGTCCGCACCACCACCTCCCTCCCAATATATATGTTTTTAATTACACTCCAAAAACAAACAAAACTCAAACAAAAAAAATATTATTTTAATTTTAATTTCATAAAACTTTTTTTTTTTTTGGGAGAGAGAAGGGGGAGGGGGAGTCTCAAAGATTTTGCTGGCAAGCCAAAAACCAAAGCTCCCTCCGATTTGCAGAGAGAATCCAAAGGACAAACAGGCAGCCTATAGAGAAACAGAATACCCAAAAAAGGAAAAAATTAAACGAAGAAACAACGAGAACGCGAAGAACAGAAACAGCAAATCCAAAGGAACCAACAAAAACGAAAGAAAAAAAAGAGAGACAAACAGTGTCTTAATTTTTGACAGAAAAAAAAAAAACCAATTCCAATTCCAATTCTTCTTAGTTATCCAATCAGTAAGTCTCTCTCAACATTATTATTATCATTAGAAACCTTCTCTTTCTCTGTCACTTCTTTCCACTTTATGTTTTAAGTTTTTAATCAGTTTGTGTTTCTGCTGATTAGTGAAATGAGATAAATGAAATGATAAACAGATCTAGCAGTTCATTTTTTTGGGTTCGTGTTTATGTTCATTGAAATTCTGAGATCTGGTACTTATTTCTCCTCAGCTCGTTTGATCGTGAATTCTCTTTTTCTTTTATTTTTTATTTTTATTTATTTTTTCATAATCAATACAGGCCAGAGAAAAGAATTGCCTCTGAAAATTCGTTTTTTTTTCTCAGTAAAACTCAAATTGGATCGTCGTTTTATTGGATTCAGATTTCTGTTTGGTTTTATTTAGATTTCAGTTTATTTTATCGTTTTGAATACAATAATTGAAACTGTTGGTGATTTTTGTTTCTTGAATAGGTTGAATGTGTTATTAATCTTGACTGCGTTTTGAAATTTCCCATTGTTAATTTGGGATTTTTGCCAGTTTGAAATCGGAAGGGGGGGCAAAAGAGTCATGGTGGAGAACCGACCCTGCGAGTCGTGTTTGGTGTTTGCAAGCTCTTGTCAACAAGAAACCAAGTCGGGTTACAAGTACAATGGGAAGCGTCCACTGGAATTCGCCGAATCCGATGGTTGTTGTCGAGAAACCAAGTTGTCTAAGCAATCTTCCGATGATTCCTCCAGCGACGATAACGATACTAATACTTCTTCCCCACAAGAGTCACGTGACCTCCTTCTGCCTGATTCACGTGATCAATCCGACGATGATAGTAAGCAATCTGATTCTTCTTCGGATTTGGATTCTTCACTTATGCAGTGCTACCCCATTGGACTAAGCAAAACAGATCTGAATAACCAATCAGATGATGACAGCCTGTCGGATTCTATGGAGGAATCACCGGAGGAACGGTCTGAGGAAGACGATGATGATAATGATGATAACGGCTTTTTGGATTCTCCCGAGGAGGAGGAGGAGAGGGAGGAAGGGGATGGATACCAGAGACATGCTGGTGATGATGATGATGATAACAACTTTTTAGATTCTCCTGAGGAGGAGGAGGAGGAGGAGGAGGAGAGGGAGGAAGGGAATGGATACAGGAGGCATGCTGGTGATGATGATGATAACGGCTTTTTGGATTCTCCTGAGGAGGAGGAGAGGGAGGAAGTGAATGGATACAGGAGGCATGTTGGTGATGATGATGTTAATGATTTTTTGGATGATGACGGCTTTTTGGATTTTCCTGAGGAGGAGGGGGAGGAAGGAAATGGATACCGGAGACATGCTGGTGATGATGATGATACCGGCTTTTCGGATTCTCTTGAGGAGGAGGAGGAGGAGGAGGAGGGGGAGGAAGGGGATGGATACTGGAGACATGCTGGTGATTCCTCGTCAGATTTGGATGAGCTAATCCAACCAATTGGGAGAGACAACTCCATCAGTTGTCTAATTAAGTGCTCAAGGTCTGATTATCGTTCCATTGCCTGTTTGAACCGGAGTTTTCGTTCCCTAATTAGGAGTGGAGAGATCTATAAGTTGAGGAGGCAGAATAGTGTGATTGAACATTGGGTTTACTTTTCTCGTCAACTCCTTCAATGGGAGGCATTTGATCCAATTCGAGATAGGTGGATGAATTTGCCAAGTATGCCTCCCAATGAATGTTTCATTTTTTCTGATAAGGAATCCTTGGCTGTGGGAACTGAGTTGCTTGTATTTGGGAAGGAGGTGACTTCTCAGGTGATATATAGATATAGTATTTTGACGAACTCATGGACTTCTGGGACCAGTATGAATGTTCCAAGGTGTTTGTTTGGATCAGCTAGTCTTGGAGAGATTGCAATTTTAGCTGGTGGTTGTGATTCTTGTGGTAATATCCTGAGCTCTGCAGAAATGTACAATTCTGAGACTCAGAAATGGGAGACTCTCCCAAGCATGAATAAGCCAAGGAAGATGTGTAGTGGGGTATTTATGGATAAGAAATTCTATGTAATTGGGGGAATCAGAGGAGTGGGGAATGATGCACAGGTTCTCACTTGTGGTGAGGAGTATGATTTAGAGACAAGAAAGTGGACTGAAATCCCTAACATGGCTCCTGGAACGAGTGGATTATTCAGTCAGCCTGCGGTGCCGGCAGCTGGAGCACCCCCTCTGGTTGCAGTAGTAAATAATCAATTGTATGCTGCTGATCATGCTGACATGGAGGTAAAGAAGTATGATAAGGAGAGCAAATCATGGTTGGCTATTGGAAGATTGCCTGATAGAGCAGTTTCAATGAATGGTTGGGGTCTTGCATTCAGAGCATGTGGAGATCGCCTTATAGTGATTGGTGGACCTGGGGCTTTGGGTGAAGGTTTTATAGAGGTCAATTCATGGGTTCCAAGCGAAGGGCCTCCAGAATGGAACTTGCTTGCCAGAAGGCGATCGGGTAACTTTGTGTATAATTGTGCTGTGATGGGATGCTAAGAGATGGGTTTTGGTGGCATCATGTGCAGTGGAATGGTGCCGCACTGCCACTGGGGTTTACATGATTGGTTTCTCCTTCAACACAGAATTCTGATTTCTTGCTAATGGTAATTTCCCCTTCTTTTTTATATCTTTTCCCTTTTGGATGGGGGATGATGGGGAAGAGTTTCAGATTTTACTCAAGATTCAATAGAATGTTTTATTGATAGGACATCTTGAGTTTTTATTTCCTTTTTCAAACTTCATTCAAAATTGCTTCCATTAAATTTGTGTCTTCCCCCGTTTTCAGTGACATGGAAAACTTGCAAAGGTTGGCGTCTTGTAGCACAGGAATAGATTTAATAATTTGAAGTACCAGCACATTGGTAGGTTGCTATTAGAGTTTGTTGAAGCTTTTTTAAGAACACAGAACTAGTCATATGGGTTTCTTCATCCTTAGTTTTCTTGGAATTGTCTTTAATGGAGGAAATAAGTTCTGGAGGTTGTTAGCTTGGATGTTGGCTGATGTACTGATTACATTGATCATTGCAATTGATGGGCTTACTTATTCCCAGATTTTTTTCTTATGTACACTTTGGAATCATTTATTGTTTCTAATTGCTCTATTTGCAATAGTCCCCAATTCATAAGTTGTTTTATTTTCCGCATACCTTCCCATAATTAGCCTGATATATTGAATGGTGTTGATGACTCTTATTCCTTTCAATTGTTTCACAAGCATGGAATTTTTACGAGTTGTAAACGTAGGTTTCTTTTTCACTTGGACAAGTTGATAAATAGAATTACATTCATATAATTATGATTTGCCATGGTAGAATTACTAATTGAAAACTTGTTCATTCTTCAATTTAACTGTTCAGTCCTGTTTATATGTTTCTTTTCTTAAGGCAATACTGAATATAAAAGTGCAAGCTAGGTGGATGGTTTTTCTTGCTTCTTAAATTTGTAAGAATGATATTGTGTAATAAATCAGATTTGAAATAGTAAATTGTCCTTTTAAATATCATTCTGCATATAAAGTTGAAAGCATCAGCCAGTCAACCTGATGTTGTTAATGATAAATATTGATATTTGCTTAGGGTTGGACAATTTCAGTATTCTATTTCAGTGGATGCTACCGGCCTTGTTCTTCGTAAATATACCGTTAGCATGGCGACAATCTATTGTATGAAACATCTCTATGGAGTTAAGAGCATGCTCTGCAATGACAGAAAATCTCAGTGTTCATGGCTTTAGGAAGACCGCATGTGTCAAAGAATATGTCATAAAGCGTCTCATAGTATCAAGGTTTTCAGCAAATATCAAGGTTTCACTTGGTGTTGTGAACCTACAAAGAAGTAAACCAGCAATAATAGCATTAGATACAGTATGATAACTGATCAACTGCAAATTTGACATTTCTCCCATGATATTCTTTTTGGGAGTGGCTGCAAAGGAAGTATTTTTTAGATGCTAGGTTTCCAAAAAACTATTTTATTTATCTATAAAGCAATATATATGTATCTATTCAAGGGAATCGCGAAACATTGTTCTTCCTTTACATAGAGAGTCTCATAGGATCTAACTCTTGGCTTTTGTGTGGTTGATACTAGATATAGGAGGTCATTATAATTGTCTGGGCTTACAGGATGACATACTTAGTCTCTCTGTATGCATGTGTTTGTGTGCTTTCTTTTCTTCTGCTCTATACTTGGGAATATGGCGTATCTTATCTATGTTAGTTTACTTTGAAAACGAGTTTTTTTTTTTTACTGTGCATATATGTTTGGATATGTCTTTGAAACCAGAGAACTTAGCTGAGGAAAATTTTGCAATGCCTGCTATCCTGTTTGGCCTGTGTTTTTGTAACAGTTCCCTTTACCATTTTTTTCCTGCTGTATATAATCCAATTCACACTCCGATTTCAATCAGTCCCGCGAAATTCTATTAAATTCTCTTTCTCCTGTTGCTGTTTTCTGTGTGCTGACACATACTAAAATCAGTTGGTGGTCCTGTATCTTTAGTTATAATTTTTCTATACAATTTTATAGTCCTCTTGTCATCTTTATAGTTGGGGACTTTTTGTGTTGTGCCTCAATAGTGTAGGGTTTTCTTTCTTTATTAGTTGGGAAGAATAAAAAACAATCAAATATTATATTCTAAAAAGATTACCAATTATTTATATCTATGGAATAGGAAGTATATGGACGTTGAATCGTCCATTTAATTATGAATATAGTGAGGCCATGTAACTACAGGGATTATTAAGCAAATAATCTGTGTCCATTTATTAAAATCAAGCTGCTGCACAATAGGGACAATGTAGAGAAGTTTGGTAAGCAGGAAAAACCACCCCCTTCTGCAAAATAAGTTACTATTGAGAATGAGCTTATCTGCTTCTGTCTGTATGCTTCAACCCATAGTGGTTTTGAATTTACTCTTTCTTGTCTTTTTCATTTGCTAGAATTTAAACTAGCCACTGAGTATCTGGAAATATAGAGTTGAGAGAGCTTCGTTTTTTTTCATTTGATTAGCTCATATGGAAGAGGAAAGTGCTGCATGTGCGGCCTTAGGCTCCCGGCACGTGACACTTGCATCTGGTTTGCCTTGCTCTGTTCAGTGATGCACCCCTTTTTATTTGGAGCTTTGGTGATGCTTGTGATTCTTAATTTCCATTTTATGGTTTTTTGTCTTGTGAATATTCTAAAACCAAATTTCTGCTTCAGTTTTTAGAAATCTGTAGGTATTAATTTTTGTCCCCAGTAGCAGCATTTGTCAATCAGTTGCCAGAATGAACTTATTTTGCAGTTTACCCATCCTTTTTTTTTTTTTTTTTTTGAGTTTTTAACTGTACTGTTAGTCTATTACTAAAGGCCCTTGGTTTATGCTGGCAAGTTTGACCCCCTGGAACTTGCCCTGGACCATGTGGGCTTCAGAATCTTTGATTGGCTCATCATCATGAAGCCATTGGCCTGCCTCTCAAGGTTCAGGCACTTAGGCCTACCAATATCATTTTTTAAGGGAAAGCAGGTAAATCTTGCTGTACTTCTGATATGAGCATATAAAATGTGAATAAATTCAACATATATTCAGCTACACACGTGTTTGAATTGATTGTACAATGCTCTGCTTAAATCCCAATGAAGTAATTTTGTTTCTCAGACTAAACTCCATAGAGAACCCCTTAAAACCTAGTCATCAGTTACTGTCCTTTGGTTGTGTTATGGTATGGAAGAATGTTTGTACTCTTTTAAGACAGTGAATAAGTGTCTTCAATGCATGTAAATGCAATGACAGATAGCCGAAAACAATGTGTTTGGTGGTATTTATTTTGGACAATCTCAAATTTTATTTTTTTTTTTAAATGCAAAGTGCGTGTATTTTTCCCAAGTGAGTGGTCCTGGGTTTCTCTCACTCTACTCCAAAAAGCTCACTGAGAAATCAAATTTATAGCTACTTTTTGTAAGTAATAATGGTTTTGCTACTTCTTGTTGCCAATGCTGTAAATTTCAGAGAGGACATGGATTTATGGGCTGTAAAAACTAAAACCCAGCTCAGATTTTCTTATGTTTTTCACTGCAACTCCATTGATTGGAAAGAATTACCTGTTACCTTTGGGTTCACAAATTGGGTTTAGGCTGGGAAACAAGTACTATCTTTTTCAACTACAAAATCCAATCCATATTTACTAGGGGCTCGTATCAAATCCAGGGCTGAAAACAGTGAATCCTGCTATCTTTTCAAGATTAGAAAGAAAATCCCACCCCATTTTCTTGGCTTTGAAAAAAAATAAATTTAATGATTCATGTATTAGTATCATATAAAATATTAAAATTTATATATTAATATTTTATTTTATATAAAAATTATATGTTATAATTTATATCGATATAAAAAAATAAAATTATTTTTTAATTTTAATTTTATTAAATTTATAAATTATTATTATTAATTTTTTAAATTATATTATTTTTATATTTTTATTTATATTATATTTATATCATATTATCATCGTAATACTATATCATAATTTGCTTTAAAAAAAAAAAAACATTAAATGGAGTTTTTTTATGCTTTTTTTTTTCTATGAAATTTCCCTCTTATAAACCCCACAACTTTCATTTTCAAGCCTTCATATCTAAATTTTCTTTGCTCTAGGCTTTGGCATAGGGCTGGCTGGAACTAATGGCTGTAATCAAAATGTTTGTCCTTTAAACAAATAAGAATGACAATTGGGAAAGCTGCCAATGGACCAGAGCTATGAGAGTTGGAAAGGGTGAGTATCCCAAAGAACACATGAGTGTCCTTTCTTCAAGGATTCTGTTAGAATTAATTGCTACACCCAGGGCAATTGTCCAACATATAGGACAGTTTAAGTGCTTAAAAAATTCTGTAGCCGACACTTATTGTAGTCGTTAATTCTATAGAATTATCCAAGATATTTTCAAATTATACATTTGCTTTTAAAATAATATATTAAATTATCAATTAGGATTGAATTTTTGTGAAAATTTTAATTAATGCATCAAATTGATGTAAAAAATATAATTTTAAAATCGCTCAAACAAAATTAGATATAAGCAAAAAAAAAATTTCGAATCACAATAAATAATTAGATTTGTCCATTTTTTTAATACTCAAATTAATTAGATTATTAAAACATTTTTGTCCAATGCATGAATCTCATATTGTCTAAGCATATGTATACCCCTAGCTATAATAATATTATATTGAATGAGAAAAATGGCAACTTTAAAAAGAAAATTTTTACCATTCTAGTTCTTCCAAGTTCTACATCTACCCAAGAATTTTCATACTTTTTTTTGGAATTTTTCTTTTATTTGTAGCAAACTTTGAAATCGAGCAAGCTTTAAAAAGTAGTTTTATTTATTCTTTTATGCAATTGATCATCTACTCTATCAACCAATATCTGTCTCCATCAACTTTTGTGTGCTATTACTTGATCAAATTCTTGACCAAATTCTATAATGATAAGAACAATTAGTAGCCTATGTATAAATTGTATACTCCTTCAAATCCCTAATCTAAAGATTATATTTATTTATACGTGGTATCCACTATCTCTTACATATATTCTAAAACACGTAAAATAATAATTTTTCAAGTTTGAATTACAAATTTAAATGTAACAGTTTAGACATTTGATTTGTTAATAAAATATTAAATTTTTAATTTTAAGTTAATTATTATCAATTTTAAATATATATATATAAATATATATAATCAAATCAAACCCAGGTGCCAAATTATATCTGAATTCATATCTCCTAAGAATCTAAAACTGCCAAATTGCTCTTCATTCATTAGTTTGGAGCATGTATTTTGAATCAACACACCATTGATATCAAAATTGACCCTTCAAAAAGCCTTGGGTTTTTATTTATTTTAATTCTTTTTAAAGAGCAAATGTCTGTTTGCTTAGTGCTTTTTTTTTTTTTTTTCTGGTGGCCCCAAGGCAAGCCCCAAGCCAGCATATAAAGTGAAAACATTAGTGGCAATTAGTGGGGGATTGAAATTCCTTTTGATGCCTTAATAATAATGGATATGAATTATGTCCATCCTCCACTAATTTGCAACAACAAAAAAGAAAGGTGGGTTTCATTTCTTTGTCTCCCTCAAAACCATCACTCTATCAAGGAACATTATTGAAATTTCACCCAACTATAATACAACATGATTCAATATATATTTTTTTTAAAAGTGGGTTTTAGATATGTTTATATAATTGCAGCTTAATCAAATCTTTGAATCAAATTTCTTTCTTTAAATTTGATCCCCAACTTTGGAAACAACATATACTATAGACTTTTATTAGAAAATATATAGGCACCGGCTTCCCATATTCGAGATTAAATCTAACAATTTTTTTATTAGTGTTATATAAAATATTGATAATTTATGTATTTATATCATATTTTTATATAAAAATTATATATTATAATTTGTGTCGATATAAAAATATAAAATAAATATTTTTTATTTTATTAAATTTATATATAAATTTTACTAAAATTTTATATTGTATTACATTTTTTTTATTCAAAGGAAGACATATATCCCTTACAAAAAAGTTTTTGACAAAATTAAGATTTTTATGTTCTTATAAAATCTTCTTAGTCACTAAACCAAAATTTTTATTATTTTTATATTATTTAATTATATCATTTTTAAATTATTAAATCTAACAAAAATTCTTGTATCTATGATTTTTCATTGCGATGGAAAGCGCATATTAATTCTGCATTTCAATTTTTATCCATTGGTTTTTGTTTTCTCTCTAATTTTTTATGTTTTCGTGAGATCTGATTAGCGGATTCTCGGTACCTTCGGGTAATGGTTATGAATTAAAAATACATATTTAAAGCTTTCCATTTATTTAAAAAAATATTTTTAAAACCGAATGAAAAGAGATATATATATAAAAAAAAAAGTCGAATTTAATGAAGTTGACTGGAACGATAGAGTCTGCAAATGGAAGAAAATTAAAATATTCGATTATAATATGAGGCAACAAAGTACCTTGATTGATCGTGAGCAAAAGATTAAGGCGACGGTTATGTTCATAATTTTTTTTTTTTTAATTTCCAAAGAGGGGAGGATTCTTAGATGATATATGTTTTATATAATTGAATTTGAATACGTTAATTATTAATTTTTTTATATAAAATATGTCTCAATCTGAAATAAAAAATGAGAGTTTAAATTTTAAATTTATTAAATATTATTTTTTAAAAATATTTATATAAATCAATTAAATTAAATATCAAATTTAAATAAAACTATTACTTCATCATGTCTTCTTTAATGTTTAAATTTAATTATATTTAAATTTAATAAAATTTAAAAAATATATTTTATATTTTTATATCAATATAAATTATAACATATAATATTTGTATAAAATATAATATAAATATATATTTTTTAATATTTTATATTATACGAATACGCAAATCTCTTCCAACTTAACCATTAAGTTGTTTGTACATTGGCGTGAGCTTTGCTCCAAAGCTTTGAATGAGAAGATTGAATAATTTTTGTCATTCAAGAACAATTTTTATGGTCACATCAAATGACGTGTCTAAACTTTTTTCTTTGTTTGGCTTATTGGGTTGGGTTGATTTGGCACCGATAATACATTTGATGATAGAAATTAATCTGTGCTTGGATGTTACTTTCATTGATTTTATAATGTCAGGTGGTAGAGTCCATACCATTTTAGATAAGCAAAGAAAATAAAAAAAAAATGAAATTTGTAAAATTTTTTTATTAAAAATATTAAATATAAATTAAAATTAAAAATTAAAATCGATAAATTAATTAAATGTGTAAAATTTTAAAAATATTGATATATTTTTTAAATAAATATTTTGATATAATTTTTATTATTAAATAAATATTTATCAAATTTAAATTATACACAATATTTTAAATAATTTTTTTATATATTATTAATTTTTA